TCCTCACGTATTGACTCCAGGTGCCGGAGCCGTTCCGTGAGCTTGGGGAACCGCGAGGACGTAACCAGCGGCGGGTAAGCGCGGGGCGCAAAGTCGTAAAGGAGCTCGAATGGAGATTTGCCCGTTGCGGAGTGGACTTGGGAGTTGTGTACGAACTGGGCAATGGGAAGCCAGTCCACCCAATCGTCCTGTCGGTGGTTGCAGAAGGCGCGGAGGTACTGTTCCAACTCCTGGTTAAAGCGCTCCGTCTGCCCATCCGTCTGGGGGTGGTACGAGGTGCTGAGGGAGGACGTAACACCGAGCTTGGTCAGGAGCGTACGCGTGGTGTCGCTTGCGAACTGACTACCCCGGTCTGAGATAAGCTGTTCCATAAGACCTGTATGTGGAAAGACGTAGCGCATAAAGAGGGATGCCGATCCCAAACTATCCACCGTCTTGGTCATGGGTGCGATGTAGACCATCTTGTATCCTCGGTCCACATAGACAGCGATCGAGTCGTATCCTTGACACTCTGGGAGATCGACGATGAAGTCCGTGGTCATGATCTGGAAGGGACGCGTAGGGACCTCGTTAGGGCGGAGGGGGACGTCTGGTGGGTTGTTGCGGATCTTGATAGACTGACAAGTGGCACAGTCTCTGATGTATTCACAGATAAAGGAGGACATACCCGGCCACCAGAAGTCCCTTGATACCAGCTCAATCGTCCTAAACCGACCCGGATGCCCAGCGGCTGGCATGTCGTGGCAAAGGCGAACAATCTCCCGACGGAGACCCTTGTCGTCCGGGATATACAGACGCCCCTTGTACATGATGAGGCCGTCCTTCTCTTCCCGACCATCCAGTTTCCGCTTGAGCGCCGCTGGACCTTCCTGCTCTATGATTCGCATAGCCTCCGCCACCTCTTTGTCTTTCGCCTCTGTCTCCAGAATGCGCTGCTTCACGTCGTCCAAGGACACGAGCTGTGTGGCGTTGATGGCAAGGTCGGCTGCAAGGAAGAGGACCCTGTTGGAGTTTTCCTCGCCAACGCCTTTGCGGTGGTCGGCACGTTGTGACAAAGGATCCGCGTGGTTGAGGCGTCCGGGTCGATGGCGTAGAATGAAGTCGAAGCGCATAAGGTACAGGGCCCATCTGGCCTGACGGCGGTTCAATTTCTGCATCTTAGTGAAGTGCTCGAGGTTCTTGTGGTCCATATAGATCTCAACCTGGTGTAGGGATCCTTCAAGGTAGTGACGCCAATCCTCTAGGGCGCGGATGATCACAAGGAGCTCCTTGTCGTGGGTGTCGTAATTCCGCTCAGGAGGTGATAGCGCATGCA